GAAAAGAGAATGCCAAGCTCTCAATCACTTTCCCGAGATGCACAAGTGAAAGGACAAGGGCATTCCTCCAGGAGCTGTACTAAGGTACTTTAGGATCTACCTCATTTTTCAATATCTTTTTACCCCTGGTCATTATAGTTCTAAGTGTGTCAAAGAGACCATGACTAACTTTTCTTGAATTCAGGTACAAAAGCAGGGGATTGCCCTTGGCAGGTCTGTTGATCTCTCAAAGTTTAACAACTATGATCAGCTGGTTGAAGAATTGGATTGCTTGTTTGATTTCAACAGGGAGCTCAAGAACCCTGAGAAGAATTGGCTAATTGTCTACACTGATGAGGAGGGTGATATGATGCTGGTTGGGGATGATCCATGGCAGTATGTGTTGCTTCTCTATTCAAATAGCTTTATAAACTTGTCAATTTTGGTTCCGAAGTTTAATTTATTTGCAAATTGATTCAGGGAATTCTGTGGCATGGTGCGGAAAATTCTCATCTACACAAAAGAGGAAGTACAGAAGATGACGCCGAGGCAAAATTCCAAAATTGATGAGAATATGCCAGCTGCTGGCGGTTCAGATTTAAAAGAAGCAAAGCAATCACTACCTTCATCAGCATCTAATGCTGAAAGCCATTAGTAGATGACCTTTATGATTTTAGCCTTTCTAGGTGTGTAATTAGGTATTGTCCAATATTTTGATCACTCTTTACTATGATTTGAGTTTTTACTAGCTGCCTGACTGTTTTTTACTATTGTTTTTTTGGCAGATTCTTGGAGCTGGCATCGATATAGGAGTATGTGCGTTACCTGTAGTCTTGTTGGGACAGGTCTAGGTGTGGCATTGAGGCCATCTTCAGGATGGAAGATTGAGTATAGTCCGTCTATATTACTCCCAATTTTGGACGTATTCTGTAGTCTTTTGGTGTTCCATATACATAATATATATGTATACCTTAATTGCAAAGAGGCATTATTAGCCTTGCAGCCTCGAATCAATCTTGTAAATAGCCGTTTTTATCCCTGACCAGCCTTTTAATGTAAGTAAGTGCTTGCGTATCTAATGATTTTAGCTGTTCTATTATATCTTCTCATCCTTGAAGCTTCAATTCTGCCGATATATCTCACTTCCTGGGTTGTCATGTTGAATCGGACATGAACTCTGTTTCCAGGTTCAGTCCAATGTAAGATAGCAGCAGATGATTCTGAATTTCTGATGGCAGCTGCATGTAGATGTTGTAGTGAAATGCTTGGCAGGAGTATACTGTATAAGTAGGATCGGTGTTTGCAGCTCACCTGAAATCAATTTGTAGGACAAAAATGCTCGGCATTGGCCAATGTATTATGCTAATAATTCTCTCTTTGCCCTGTCAAAAATTCCAGCACTAAGGAACTGGAAGAGCATTTAATGTGAAAAAAAGGTCAATGGATTTTTATGTATATTTTGTTATTTAAGTTCATGAGAAATAGATGCAGATTCACCTGGGTTTCTTCTATTAGGTTGTTTACAGATATTGTAATTTGGTTAATTGTTTTTGGTATGGTGTAGGATGCGTCTTTGCACCCTACGAATGGGGATAAATAGGCCGATGGGTGCATGCTCATAGTGTACTTGTGCATCTCGCTTGTATTACTCTGGCTTGTGGCTCCTTTTGATTTTGAAGCAGCCATCGTGAACAAATTGAAACCTCTCTTCTCGTAGAGGCTCTTAAGCATTCACATTAAATTGTAACCCTAGGAACTTGCTTTTGGCGTTTCTAAGGCTGTTCTCCTTTGAGTCTCTTTGACCCTAGTTTCTCTAATTAGGAGTTTTCTCGTTTAGCTATAAAAAGCTAATATTGAATGGTAATTTCGGGTGTCTTTTTTTTATAGTACTTGAGGTTTTCTAATTGGACATGTAATTTAATAATTAAATAGTATAGAAACTGCGTGTACACTGTAACTCCGCAAGTATCTAGTGTGTTATAACGTGGTAAGAAAAAGGAAAAACATTAGGAGATCTTCACGAGGGGGATTTCTAATGCATAAGTGTGTTATACGTTATCAATGTAGTACTACGAGCTTGTTGTGATTGACTGAACTCAGCTAAACTGAATTGAGCAGAGCAAAACTGAACTGAAATGAATATTTTATAAGAGAAGGAAATTAGGAACTGAACAGAACTGAAATGAATATTTTATAAGAGAAGGAAATTAAGAACTGAACTGAATTTCAACGTATGAGAATAGGCCCTACGTATCTTCTACACAGTGAGTAGAATTTTACAATAGAGCTGAGTAGAATTTTACAATAGAGCGTCCAATGATAATAGATTCGCAAAGTTTGAAAGTTACATACAAAGATATGATTTTGATTGTTAATTTTTTTTTTCTAAGTAAAAAATTGATCTTATGAAAATATATGTAACGTGACTAATCCAATAACATATCACACAATAACATTGTTTTAAAAATCTTGATAAAAGAATCAAGTCAAAATCGAGATGTGACTAGACGACTAGTGAAGATAATGATATCCAAGTGTAACTAAAAAAAATAGAGGGAGTATGAAAAGTTTTAGAGCAAATACAAGTTTAAATCTGACAATCAATAGAATTTTAGTTCAATTTCAGTACAAACTTTTTAGAATTCAACCTGGTCCATATATATAGTCCCACTGTGTCGGACTGGACCTTGTACAACGTTTTATTGTCTACTAATCTTTTTGTTTTATCTACTGGCTTTTTCATCATTTGTAAACAAACAAAAAAATAAAAAATAAAAAAACCATGAACATCTTTAGTTTTGTAAAAATGAAAATTGATTTTTTTTTTTGTTATAAAGTTAATATTTATAAAATAATCACTATGAATCTGATAAGATTTCATATGATGATGTATTGCGGAGTATGTAATGATTTACTATCAAAGTTTTCATTAAGGAATGCTCCGTTTGATGTAGTATTGAGATAAGAATGTATTGTGATATGATATTATGAGAAAAATATCATATAAGATATTATTGTGAAAAGATATACTTGTATGTTATATATTATGATAGATTTAGAAAGTTAATAATTAAGAATATTAGGGTTAAATTAAGAATTAGCCCGTCTTGTGTGCGGCCGGCAACACCGTGTGGCCACTTAAAGTAACCCCTATAACATTGATTAAGTAACCCCTATAATACCGACCGAGTAACTCCTATAACATTGACCGAGTAACTCTATAACAATGACGAAGTAACCCCTTTAATACTGACCAAGTAACCCCCATTACACTAGTGAAGTAGCCCTTATAGTGGCTGGCCACATGGTGTGGTCCGCCACATATAAGAGTTTGTGCCGTCTTGTGCTGCCGGCCACACCGTGTGATCACTTAAATAACCCCTATAAGATTGACTAAGTAACCCCTGTAATATCAATCAAGTAACCCCTATAACATTAACCGAGTAACTCTATAACAATGATGAAGTAACCCCTTTAATTTAACATTGATCAAGTAACCCTTATTACGCTAGCAAAGTATCCCCTATACTGGCTAGCCACATATAAGACTTTGTGTGGGCAAGTCTCGTATGTGGCCAGCCACACGATGTGGCCCCATTGTTTTATAAGAGTAATCTTCATTTATATATATAATTAACCTCATTTTTTTCATAAGGGTAACCATGTCGTCTATAAAAGTAACCCAAATTCATTATATGAGTCAAAACAAGTAATTAAGAAATAAAAAGTAACTCATTTTTTTCTTTTAAGTAATTTACCTACGTTAAGGTACCCCATTTGCTCATCATCGTAACTCCCCATTACTTAATTAATTGTCTTACATGTGATTATGTGAATTGGCCACGCAATGTGGCTAGCCACATATAAGACTTTGTGCATGTCATGTGATGGAATATGATAGAAGGGAAAGTACAATGGAAATAATATAGAGAGAACTTTTCTCTAATAATTTAACATGGTATCAAGAGCCTGGAGAATCTTGGGATGGAAAACACGAGAATTTCTATAAAAGGAGAGATTGAAAACAAAAATAACCTTAATCACGAGAGTTTGTCAGAGAGAAGAGGATGAAAAACACGAGAGTTCGTGTGAGAGAATGAGAAAAACTTTAAACACAAGAGATTGTGTGGAGGAGAAGAAAAAATATAACGAGTTTGAAAAGAAAGACGTTCTCGTTATATTAATATATTTGATAAGCTCGGAAAGAATAACGTTCCCATCAAGGAAAAAAAAAAAAACTTAAACACGATAGTTCGTGTTAGAGGAGTGATCAATTGTACGCATTATTCATTGATTGCGTATATGAGTGTGTGATTGTGAAGATTTTTTTTAAATTTATTTTATACGTTATTTTCATAATTAACGTATAATAGTGTGAGAATTACTGTGAGGGTTCACAATTTAATTTTTTGTTCTTTTACGAGGAATTGATTTTTTTTTTTGTGACCATCTTTATCACAGTGAAATTTGATGATTTTATGATCATATTTATTTTTGTGATTATTTGAAAGCGGATGATTAAATAGTTAAGATAATAAGGAATATTAGGGTTATATATTCATATTGTCTATATATATATATATATATATATATATATATATATATATATATATATATATATATATATATATTGTAATGTGGCTGAATATTATGAATGGAAAAATACAATGGAAAAATAAGAGAACTATTTTCCCCAATATTTAACAAGTAGTACTCAGTATGTGGAGAAACAAAGAAAATACATTTTATGAATGATAATTAGCCTTTCACAAAGTACCGTGTGGCCAGTCACTATAGCGGTTACTTCGCTAGTATAATGGGGGTTACTTAGTCAGTGTTAAAGGGGTTACTTCGTCATTGTTATAGAGTTATTCGGTCAATGTTATAGGGGTTACTTGATCGGTATTATAGGAGTTACTTAATCAATGTTATAGGGGTTATTTTAAGTGGTCTCATGGTGTGGCCGGTCGCACACAAGACAGGTTGTTATCCTTTTATTCACTACACTAGAGGCGTTTTATTTTTTTTTTTCAAGTAAAAAGAGGCGACTTTTTAAATGTATGGAAAATCTCATCTAAAAGAGTTCGAGAAAAATCTATACCAAATATACGAGTAAATATTAAATTCTCATCTTTGGTCAGGTATATCCAAACAATTGGAAATTTATGAAAAGTTTACTTCTATTAAAATTGTAAAAACTACAGATAAGCTAATCCAGAAAATCAAAAGCACCTAAAATGAAAATGAAGGTAGATCAAACTAAGAATAGCACAAAAGCCTTCAAGCTGACCACCATTACAACTTCAAATATCTCTTAAACTAAAAATAGTTCTTAAAGGGGGTAAAAACAAACATGTTTTGAAAACAACAAACTTCCTTAATCATCTTCTTTGGATCCAAATCTTGAAACAACAGTCACCATTTGATTCACACGTTGCCGTTTCCCACTACTGTCGAGCCATGGAAGGTGGTTAAATCCAAGAGCATAGCTTTGATTTGGTCAGGGTGCAGATCCTGCCCATCCTTGCATTGCTGAAAAGGACAACAATGAAAGCCATCAGTGAGATATGCATCTCTGAAAGCGCAACAGATAAACGATCTCTGAAAGCGCAACAGATAAACGACGTATGCTACTACAACAATTATTGCTGACATGTTATCAATATCATCTTGTCGAATGACAATCTGATGCATGACTCAATTCATTACAGGTACTTATTACTGACATGGCATTGGCTTCTCTGTTTTTTGGTTGGGAAAGGGGGGTTTAGTTTAAACCAGTACACAATTCATGAGTCACAGATGCAAATGAATACAAGATAGAGAAAAGGGAAAGTTACCTCAGCGCGGAAAATGTCCATAGCAAAGCCATTGAAGCAGCTGATCACTGCTTGCTGGATGTCTAAACCAAGACCATCTAAGGTCTTCATGGTAGAGAGCAAGAGACCTGGTCTGCGGCCGCAGAACATGTGTATGTTGACAGCTCTTCCTTCCCTTAGCCTCACCTCAATCTACAAAATTAGAAAATTCAGAAGGTTGTACATAGATTTTCTGTTCCTCTCCTAGCATGAAACATGATGTATGCTAGTACAGAGAATTTCTTCTATTGTGAATTCAGAACATGAATTTGTAAATTAAAATTGTTGTTGTCATAGTTGGAGATTAGAATGAAGCATGATCTTTAAATTTGGCCTCTGCACGCCGCAAAAACAGTACAGCAGACAAATTTTTGTGACAACTAAATGGCATTAAGATTACACTAAGTAGCTAGATAAAGGTTGGAAAACTTCTGAAACAAATTTTTAGGCTAATTCACAAAACAAACTATGATAATACAAGTTACTAAATTTAGGGAATACTTTCCATGTATTGTTAGTGAAGAAAACAAGTACAGTAATTAAGGTTAATGAAGGAAAGTCATGAAAAAAAGACCAAAAACTCACCCTTGCAGGCTGACCATTGGGGCTTGGCAACGAGCTAGGACAGAGTTCTTCCTTGATTCGAGATGGCAAGTTAGGCAGTGTCGGTGTTAAAGGATGGAAATTTGTTGGCAGCGGCAATGAAGAGGGTGTCAATTCCAGTTCATTGTGGAGATCATTGATCTTTTGCAGCAGCTCCTTCAAATACTCAATAGCATCCCCAAGTATTGAAGCCCTATCCATCTGTAAATGAATTCAATACATCATTTGTTGGTAAGTTTTTATTCTTCTTTTGGTCAGTTCAAAAGTATAACAGCAAAATTTTGTTAACATCAGCAAGCAATATAGAAATCTGACTACATCTTCTCTTAACTTCAGCACTTATTCTAGTATTCTACTCCAAATTAAGCAAGAATCTTACATGTAGGGTACCAATTATAGTACTTTTTGCTCAAAACAGGCATGCATTTACATTGAGTTACATAAATGTCACAGCAGAAAATGTCTTTCTATCACTAAGAGTCTAAGAAGTACAACTCTCACACACACACACACCACCAACCCCTGGTTCCATATTCCAAAAACACTTCCTACTAGGACAAAAAGCCAAATGTGCCCGCCTTTTTATATGCTGAATAAGAAATACCGGTTATGATGTATGAAACTTTTGGAATCCATGATAAAATCACGAGTCAATAGGTGTTAAAAAATACTAGTATATTCATTGATGCTTAATAGCTTCATTTTTAGCTTCCTATGCTCTTTGAGACTACATAAATTATTTTCCATAAAATCATATTGCTCAATACCAGAAATTCAATTTATCACTACTGTCCTCCTCACTCTAACAAAGATTATTTTACTAAAAGTAATAGTTACTCTTATAAGACAAGTACTGCTTAGTTTTCTTAAAGTACACCAGTACAGAAATGAATGAATGCAATCCCCATAACCTTGGTAAGCATTTATTACTCAAATTGTTTGAAATTTGAAACAATATTTATATGGGATGTTTGCAAATTATTTAATCTTTTTTATTCAAGGCTAACGGTTTATGTGAATAAAATGTGTACGTATCCCCATTAACAGTCTATTGTGAGCTAGACAACCTAATAATTAAAAGTTTGTTAAAGTGGCAATAAATTTTTACAAATAAACAATGCTCGATCTTACGTTACCAAGGCAAGCAAGATTAATGAACCAAAAAACGCGTAAATGCAAGCAACACCTAAGCTTAAACTCGAAGAAAACAACTAAGCAAGTACTACATGATTATTAACCAAATGGGTTTGTTATGATATAATCTAGTTCTAGTAAATTGAAGATCTACATAAGTAATTTTATCTTAATTTAGGAAATGAAATTACATACATACAAGATTGAAGAAGAGAAGTTGTAGATGTCTCTTCTAATGTAACTTAACTTTTAGGACAGTGGTCCACTTGTATAGACAATAAATAACAAGTCCACCAGATTCATGTGAGTTGATTTAATGCTTAACTTTCATATAGTATGCATTTACACCACCAAAGAGTAACGTTACATTGCAACCAATGATGTGATGTACCAAGAATATCAAACTTTTAAACTCTCAATTTCAACAACTAGAAAATAGATTGGATAAATTGAAATGTCCAAGCATCAATGATAGTACTACTACTACTAGTCTACTGCCTAAACTCACGAGATATCATAATAGCACAAATCAACTTTGAATAATTCTAACATGTAACAATTGAATTCAAAAAAATCAACTAAATCACGAGTAATCGATAAAAAAGAACAAATTAAAGAAATTCTTCACCTTACTGATCTTGGGGACGACAGATCTTAGCATGTATAGCCTATCATTGAGCTTCTTACGACGCCGCCTTTCGGCCATTAGGTTCTTAGCCGGTAGGCCCTTCTTTTTACCTTTGGAATCGCCCCCTGTTAATGTGCTAGTATTATTGGAATTAGTACCACCATTTTTACCCCCATCATCTCCACCAATCTTAAAATTGTTATTCTCGGTAAAATCATCAGAATCATAATTAAAAGCTGAGCCATCTAAACTAACACTATCTAAAACACCCAAATTCCCAAATTTCCTCTTCTTATCATTATTATTATCACCCCCAGAATTTTCCCCAGAATTCAACCCAGAATTTCCACCCAAATTACCAGAATCATCATTATTATTACTATTATTATTAGCAAACCCACTTTTTCTAAGGGCTGCTCTTTTCTGAAAAAGAGTAGGTTGTGCACCAACAGGTGCAGAATTATCTAGAGGTTTTAACAACTTTGATGCTCTATTCATAAACATTGTATTCCCTAACCCTTCGTCAAACCCTCGAAATCGAGAACCTGAACCGGAACCTGAACCTGAACCAACTCCAAATCCATCATTTTCTCCCAATTGAAAACTTGTAAAATGAGGATTAGACCCCAAATTTGGACTATCCATTTCATTTTGAGTACTAAATTCACTAAACCCAGTTAAAATCCCACCACCAACAACACCTCTGTTCATCAAATCAGGAATTTGGTGATTATGATGATGATGCTGTTGTTGGGTGTCCTGAAAAAACCCATTACTTCCAAGATCAAACCCTTGAGTTAAAGGGTTGTTAAAAATGGTGGGTTTTGAAGAAAACAAGTAAGAATTTGAGTTAAAAACAGAGGGTGAAGGTGAACAAGATGAAGATGAATCAATATGATTTAACAGCAAATTTTCAGAACCCTCATTTGGAGTTGAAAAAGTAATAGAATTTGGATTAGTGATAGTGTTATACCACTCATTCTCAACTTCAAGCATTGATTTGAAAGTTGCTAATGAAGCAACATCAACCCCATCAACAAGTTCTTCTCTGTTGTCGCCTCGGCCGCCGCCATTGTTACCCCCAACTGCAACAGCAACAGCAACAGCAGCAGCAGCATCAGCACAAGGATTTCTGTTCCATGTAACTGATGGATTTTCCTCATTTCTTTCATTCAACCAGCCAACAGAATTTGTTCTTGACAACATTTTTTTTTAATTTTTGAGAAATAAAAAGAAAGGATTTTAATTTTTTTTTTTGAGAGAGATTGGAAGAGAATTGAGAGCGACAGGGCAGTTAAATAGAGCAGCAGCTAAGTAGAATGATGGTGTTGTTGCTGCTGCTTCGAACGTTACAGTAGTTTGTTGCATATAAGTGCTGATTTTGAGTGGCTTTTTTTGCCTTTTTTATTCGGGTATTTTATGGACTATAAAAACTGTAATCATTGATTGGTTTTGCCTTTTATGGTTATCAATTACGAGTATTTCATTTTTACCAAGGCATTGTAGTAACACGCGGTTTGTTATCTTCACATGAATTTATCTTATCTAAACTTATATAAAATCGTAATTTATTTAAATTTAATAGAATTAAGGGTCTATTTTAATTTACTGAATTGAGCTGAGTTGAATTGAATTGATCAACTGATTGGAATTGAACTGAATTATTTATGAGAGAAGAAAATTAAGAACTGAACATGCCCTAATTTGTATATAGATGATCCTAATCTTAGTGACTTTATTTAATTTTGCTAAACTTAAATTAATAATCTTTTTGGTATGTTACATTATTGATTCATAATATAAATGCCCATCAACTTTAATTTAAAGCTAAATTGTTCATGAAAGGAAAGAAATTAATATCTCGTGACTCTGTGGTTTTGTTAACAAATTATGATTTTTTTTTCATGAATGAAAATAAGAAGAATGTTATTACTCTGTAATAAACGTGACTTAGGCTGTATTTTATTCATCACGCTATTCAACATGATTTGCTTGAGTCGTTAAGCTTATCTTAGGGTCTGTTCACTTCAACTTAATTTCAATTCAGTTCAATTCAGCTCCAATCAGTTTATTTCAGCTCCTAATTTCCATCTCTCATAAATATTTATTTTAGCTCAGTTTAGTTCAGCTCCAATTAGTTCATTTCAGTTCAATAAATATGAACATCCCATTACTTAGGCTTATTAATTGTTTCATTTTGATATAGAGCTCGTAATATCTCATTGGTTATCATTTTTGCCCAAATTTATCTTGTCTGAACTTATACAAAGTGACAGCTTTTACTAGTATGAACTTAACATTAGTAATTAACACTTTAAATATATCAACCACTCTTTTTGGCAAGGTTTTTCTCAAGCACATTAGCCAGCCCCTAGCTAATTTCATTTTGTTTTAGCTCCAATGGTTAAGCTAGTAACAAGAAATTTTCAAAATTGCAAGCAACTAAGCAAGTTCATATCTACAACCATAAGAGATGCTTAAAACTTTCTAGTATATTGTGTTATTGAATTCATAAATATAATGCAGAATAGTTTTATTTTAAAGCAAGCAAAAATGGTTTGTGAAAGGAAAGAATTCAATATCATTTGATTAAGAAATCAAAGTATGATTAATTTCTTGAGAAAATAAAAGGCACTTATATAATTAAACAACATGTCTGAGGATATAATGTCTTTGATTTAGCTTTAATTGATCCGCATTCTTACACGTGGGATGCTTCGACTGTTCATGGCCTGTTTGAATCTGACACAGTGGCTAGAATTCTCTCGCTAGACAGGCCGGTGCGTTTGATGGATGACTTTATCTATTAGAAGTTTACTAGGGATGGTGTCTTCTCAACTAAGTCTACTTATGCTAGGGGTGAAAGTAATATGGACAAAAACCGAATACCGATCCAAACCAAACCGAATTAGAAATTTGAATTGGTTTTTTTTGGGTTTCGGTTTGGATCAGTTCCAAAAAATTGAAACCAAAATATTTCAATTTGGATTCGGTTTGGGGCTTCCAGAAACCGAAAACTGGAATAAAAACCGAAGTTTTTAAGCCCAAAGAAATCTCATCCCACTTCCCCAATTCCCCAACATATATATATAGCAAATCCCTAAGTTATTTCCCATTTTCCCCTAATTTCCCTTTCACGCACTCTTCTCATCTTCTGACTTCTGCGGACTGCGGCCACTACCTTCCTCACTAAAACCCTAATCCTCCCTCATCACCTCACTCACTTTGGCCACCACCTTCCTAACCACCGTCCGATCAACATATCTCACCACCACCTTCCTCAGTTCGTGTTTGTGCGGTGTTCGTAGCTTTGTACTGATCCCTCATATCCGCAGCGCGCCACTACCTCCGTTAGTGCACAAACATCTTCGATCCTTCACCACTTCCGTCATGGTGTGCGCGAACACCTCCGTCAAGGGTTGGGCGACAACCTCCCTCACCACCTTTGTCACGGCGTGCGCAAACACCTCCCTCACCAACTCCGTCAACACCTCCGTCATACCGTCAGGCCATAAATTTGATTGTAATTAACTTAATTATTTACTTCAATTTTTAGATCTAATAATATTTACTTCAATTCTTAGATCTACAAAGTATAAATGTGATTGCAATTTACTCCTTTTATTTAATTCAACTTGTAGATCTACAAAGTATAAATTTTATTGTAATTTATCTGTTTATGTACTTCAATTTATAGATCTGCAAAGTATAGTTTTAATTGAATTTTTTGTTATTGTTATTCACATAAATCTGGGCAAATAATAATTAAGAACTCGGTGATTAAAAAAAAAAACAATCAAAAATTCGGTTTCGGTTTGGAACCGAATTAGGTAGGTTTTACAAATATAGATTGGATTGGTTCGGTTTCATATTAAGTTTGGTTTGGATTTGGTTTTGAATTTTTCAAAACTGAATTAATTCGGTTTGGATTTGGATTGGCCCAAAATCCAAACCGAACACCGAACTTTCACCTCTAACTTATGCTAATATTTGTGGGAATGGTACGGTTCTATGGGTAATGCGGATTCTCAATCTCTTCTTCCTAGTGGAGAAAGTTTTGGGCCATGCAAATTTTGCCTTGTTGGAAACTATTTGGTCGGAAATTGTTACACAATACTTTGTCTTTAGCAGCCATTATTTCGACCCGAGGGCACCCTATTGATCCTACATGTGCCTTTTGTCACTCTTTTGAAGAATCTCGTTCCCATCTATTCCGAGACTGCTCAGCTATCTATGGTCTTTAGAGTTCTGGTGTCTTGGATATTAGATGGGATTTTATGCATCTTTCGTAGTTTGAAGACAAGATAACTCGAACGATGTCCCAATTTCCATTGTCCACTTAGAATCTAATTGGAAGACCCGTAGTAAGTGTGTTCAATGCTGGAAGGCTTCAGTTTTATCTTCTAATGTGATTCCTTCTATGGCAAGTCGGTCATGGCAGTTCTTATCCTTACAGGGTTTACCTACTATCGATCCTACGGTCTATTTGGTTATAGATGGGCTTGGGATTGTTTATCGAATAGAGTAGGTGCAGGTTGGATGATTCGGGAGGTCGGTTCTTCGGAGGTACTTGGGGGCGGGTGTCGTGCTTTCTTTGCCGCCTCGGCGTTGCAGGTGAAGTTGCAGGCTTGTTTATGGGGTTTAGAGTATGCACTCGTGAGGGTTTTTTGAAAATTTGAATGTATACGGATTGTATTGCTCTGTTGGTTGTCCTTCCTCATTCGGGGAATATGGACATCTAATTTCGGTTTTCTGACTCATTCAGGAATTGTGGGTTTCTATTCAGAGTCTCCTGGTTTGTCAAGTAAGTAAGGTTCCTTGTTGCTGGGTGTTTCCAGCTCGTTGATTGGCAGGTTGTGCTCATTGTTGTCAGTTACTGTATTTCGTGTTTTAATTTTATTTTGGCCTAGGTTTGTTTTTTTTTTGTTCTTTTTTTACCTCTGTTGTCAGGAAAAAAAATTTAGTAAATATAAATTTGATCAATCTTTTTGTAAAGTTAAAAATATTTGTGAATGAATAGATATCAATATCTTATGATATAAAATAGTGAAATTTTTTACATGAGGAAATAAAATGGACATGTATCACTTAACAAAGTGATTTAAGGTCTATTTTATTCAAAATAATTTGCCTAAGTTTATCTTATTTACACTTATCTAAGTTAATTAAACTTATCTTAACATGTCTTACTTGAAATAAACATATCTAATATAATTAGTATTTTGTAAAAATGATTTTAACTCATTAGAAATCAAGTGGGTTGTTATTTCTTAACTTAACCTATTTTAAAGAGCAAATATCTTTACTATTTGAAGTTGAGTGATCTACTAGTTTACATAAAATAATAATATTAAGTAAAAATTATTTCAATTCAATAAAAAAAATTCTGATCCGGCAAAAATAAGTTCATTAGTTATACAAAAAAATAATTTTAATTCATTAAGAATAAGCTTTAATCCGTAAAAGTAAGTAATTTAAAGGAGCAAACATAATTGAAAATTAGTCAAATGAAATTAATCTGTAAATCTATTTTCAGCTCAATAAAAATAATTTAAGTCCATTAAAATTAATTTTAGTTAAGCAAAATTAATTTTAGTTTGGTAAAAATCATTTCAATTTAGCAAAAATAAAGTGAAGAGAATAGGGCCTAAATCTAATAAGATCAATTTATTGAACATAGCACCACCAATGATTTATAGTAGATAAGGACATGCTTGTAATATTTAGAAAATTTAAAATCATTAGCTTTACTTTTATTAGAGTTAGGTCCTTTTACTTGATATATGCTGAATAAAATTATTTACACATATACACATACACACACACATACTCCCTCCGTTACATATTACTCCCAACAAATGGGTATTATTTGTGAGACCGCAACAAATGGGTATTATTTGTGAGACATAAAATATTCCTTTATTGTGAGTAATATGTAACGGAGGGAGCGCGCGCGCACACACGCGCGCGCGCGCACACACACACAATCTCTTTAAGGTTATTGATTTTTATTGTATATATTAGACTTACTATTATTGAGCTTTAATTAAATTATTTTGGTCGATGAACACAACTTATTTATTGAACTTAAATTATATTATTAGACGAAGAGAATAGGGCCTTGGTTTAGCCTAGAAAATAGCTGGTATGAATAAAAGTTGATTGACTAGTGAGTCTCATGCATTTTATTAGCAATCTAATTCATAACCATTATCCTTTTCAGCTTAAAATAAAAAAAGGTTATTTTATCGTTGGATTACAAACTAACTAAAAAGAGGAATACCTTAAGATCTTACTTGACATGACAAATCTAATTTCACAATCA